AAAAAAAAAAAAAAAAGAGTTAGGGTGAGGTCCTGATGGTGTGATAAAAACGGCTTTAATGTCTATGTAACAGTACAGTACTGCATTCTGGACCCTTTTATATATTAACTTATTAGCCATCACAACATATGTAGGGGATGGATAGGTTTTATTTTTATTATTCTAAGTTTTACAGATGAGGAAACTGAGGCACGAAGAGTTGAAAGAAACTTGTTTATGGTAATGCAGGTAGTAAGATTCAAACCAAGGAAATCTGGCTTCTAAGTTCCATGTTCTTCACCTCTCTTCCATAGTGGGAGACATAACATGGCAGGTGTGGTGTGGGGTGGTAGGAGAAGGCACTGTAATCTTGTTGGACACACAAGAATGAGGATAGCATTCTTTTTAAAGTTTTTTTTTGGTAGAGACAGAGTCATGCTATGTTGCCCAGGCTGATCTGGAACTCCTGGCCCCCCAAATGGTTGAGATGAAAGTCTTAGCCCCTGCACCCAGCCAATGATGGCCTTCTTAGCTAAGCCCACATTTTATACCCTGGCTGCTTAAGGTTGGCATGCTATGCTGTCTCGTATCCCTGAGCTCTGGCTCTGGGCTAGAGCATGTGGAGCCATGCCGACCTATAGGAAGCAGTCATCTCATTGACAAACTCATTCCTCCATCACAGTGGGTTCTGATGTAGCCTCCAGAAAGCCAGGGGGTCAGGATGGTGGGTAGCCGTGGATGGACCTAGAAGAGAAAGCCTGGAAGGACTCCTAGGGTAAGGAGCCAGGCTAACGCTGGGATCTCTAGGTCTGGAGAATGTAAAAACGTGCAGAAATGCCTGAGCCTTCTTTAAAGTCAGCAAAATCCGTCCTTTCATAATCCAAGCTGCCCATAACTTCTTACAGTTAGCTCATTGTTTGAAGAAAGATGGGTGAGAATTAATTCTGATGTCCCAATATACCAACGTATGATAGGAAAACAAGTATCCTCCAGGAAATCCTTAGTTTTTTTTTTTTTTTTTCCTAGGGAGTCATACTGTGACTGTCTCAACCTGTGCAAAGAATGGTCTGTAAAACAGCTGAACCATCAAAGGATGATCTAAACTTTTAAAGGGGGTGATCTTAAATGAGCCCCATGGGAAAATTCTGGGAGGAGGGCAGATACACAAGTGGTTTCTGCTTTCCTTTTCTAATTTGCCTCTTCAGTATTATTTTACATTGATTCTCCACAAAATATCACTTCTAAAAACGTCTCTTTTAATCTCCAAATGTTGGTATTAGAGTATTCCTTCCAAGAGCCTTGAGACAGCATCTTGCACTGTTGCCCAGGCTGCAGTGCAGTGGTGCGATCTTGGCTCACTGCAATCTCCGCCTCCTGAGTTCAAGCAATTCTCCTGCCTTAGCCTCCTGAGTAGCTGGGACTACAGGCGTGCGCCACCAGGCCCAGCTAATTTTTTTGTATTTTTAGTAGAGACGAGGTTTCACCGTGTTGCCCAGGCTGGTCTCAAACTCCTGAGCTCAGGCAATTCGCCCATCTTGGCCTCCCAAAGTGCTGGGATTGCAGGTGTGAGCCACCGTGCCTGGGCCCAAGAGCCTTTCTGGCCGTGATGAGGAGGATTTGGGGATTTATTGATGTAAATATCATCTCAAACAGGAGCAGTCTGCATTAGCCGATGAGGAGAAATACACATGAGCGGCCCCACTATGCAGGCCTTAAAAGAGCAGAATTTGAAAAAGCAGAATTTTCTGGTGTTTAAGATTTTCCCATTTTCCCTGGAAATATGAAAATATCAAGGTTGCTTCACAGGCTATCAGAAAAATATTCAGTTCCATCATGCGTGACCCATACCCACAGGTGGAGTTAAGGAGCTGTTAAAAGAAAAACTTTAGCCAAATTAAATTTAAAGGAGTTTAATTGAGCAATGAACGATTCACAAATTGGGCCACACTCAGAATCACAGCAGATTCAGAGACTCCAGCGCAGCCATGTGGTAGAAGAAGATTTATAGACACAAAAAGGGAAGTGACAAGCTGATGTCAGAAGTGAAGTATAGAAACAGCTGGATTGGCTAGAGCTCCACATTTGCCTTATTTGAACACCACAGTTTGAACACTGGAGGTGTGTGAGTGGTTGAAGTACGGCTGCTGGGATTGGACAAGACTCAGCTATTGTCACAGGTGCACAGTCCTAAGTTAGGTTTTCAATCTTGTGTATCTATTAAGTTAGGTTGCAATTCAACCACTCAAATATAGAAATACAGAGTTCTTCCCAGGCCATACTTTGTTTTAACAGAGCTTTCATGCAAAGCACAGAAACATTTGGTGTTTTATTTACAGAACCCCAGAATAGATTTTGGGGACATTTCTTCCAGAATGGCACTCCAGGAAAAACTGAAGTGTAAAACTTTTGACTGGTACCTGAAAAATGTTTACCCACTCTTGAAGCCAATACACACCATCATAGGGGAGGTATTGGGACAGTGTGTATGATGAAATTGCATTTTGGATTTTACATGTTTGACTGTAAAGAAAATGCAGCCTGAACCATGTGATTGCCTGTCCTGCCCAACACGCCCTTCCTGCCCTGGTTTTCTCCTCAGCTCTTTGCCCTCAACCCTCCCAGTTTCCTTTTGTTCCTTGCTTCCCAATCCCGATCTCTTTTCCTTGTTTCTGCTTCTAGTCCCCTTGAAAACTGTAGCTCTTGCCTGGACCCTCTCGGTTTCTCCACCAGCTGCGCATTCATTCTCCATGGTGACATTTGCATTGACAGTCACCTCTGGTTCCTTCCTTTTTCCCCTCTTCCCACTGCTCTCCCCGTTTTCTCTCTGCTCCTCAAATGCCTGGGAATGTGGACAGGTGAAGCCACCTGTGCTTCTCCTAGAGAGAGGGAAACAGAGCTCGAGAGGAGAGAGGCTGAGCAGATGTTCCTCCAAGGGATGGAAGGGCCCTGGCCCCATGTGGAAGGTGCAGCCAGGGGACTTTTTTTTTTTTTTTTTTAACAGACACTATTCACATCTATCCTCTTACTTTGCATGCTGCCCTCATAGCAACCTTTTGAGGCATGCACGATAGATAGATATCATTTCCACTTAGATGAAAAAATGGAGACACATGACTAACCTACTTGTCCAAGCTCACTGGGCAAGGTCGTGTCAAATCAGGAATTTGAAAGAAGATTTTCTGACAACAAATCTGTAGCTGAGGCCTACGGTGACAGATTCCGGAGCTCAGTTTTGTTTTTTCTTCAGAGACAAGCTTCTTCATCCACGTAAGCCATGATTCCGCTGGAGCCCTCCTAGGACTGGCCTTCTCCCTGGATTCAAGGGGAGACTAAGGAGCAGAGGGAAGCAGAGGTGGCTTCGTGTTGTCCAGGAAGGTTCAGTGTTCCTGGTGAGACTGGGTGTCTAGGGGCTCCAAGATCAGTCTTCCTGCCCTCCCTCTGGCTAGGGTCTCCTGCTGGCTGATGATGCCAATGGCGAGTCCTCTGCCGTCTTTTAATACGTCTACTATCACCTAACTGGGGAGCTCTATGGGGACAACTGATTGCAGAGGCCAGCGATAGTGATCGCTGCCTGACAGACCCTGGCAAGGCAGAGGAGAAGCCCACCTTAGAACCATGCTCCAAGGCAGCTACGGATGGACTGCACATATATTGGGATTTTAAACAGGTAAGTTGCATGGATTTTTTTCTTTCTTTATCTTTTTTTTTTTTTTTTTTTATAGTTAGTAGCCTTTAATACATTACATGTGCTCATTGTAT